TCAATGATTTTCATGGGGGAAATTGGATGTTTTGGGTAGAACCTAGGTTTTACAAAAATTGTGGATTTGGACCTCGATTTGAGGTCCGATTTTAAAATAAATTATATATTTGGGTTCGTGGGGGAATAGGTAATCGGGTTTTGGTTCGAACCTCGGGTTTTGACCATGTGGGCCCGGGGGCAATTTCTGACTTTTTTTGTAAAACTTTAGAAAATTCATTTTCATGCATTGGGGTTGATTCATTTAGCGTTTATTGACGTAATTAAGTAACTTGTGACTAGATACGAGCGAATTGGTGGTGGAATAAAGGGATAAAGCTATAGTTGAATCGTGAATTGTGTTCGTGGCATCGAGGTAAGTGTTTGGTCTAACCTTAGCTTGAGGGATTAGGAGTTGTGTCTTATTTGCTACATGCTAATTGTGGAGTACGACGTATAAGCATGGTGACGAGTATCTGTACGTTGGTGTCAAACATGTTCGTGAGTCTTGTATTATAATTGTTATGACTCCGTTGTGGTTTATTGCGCTTCATATGTTATTATCACCATTGTTCCCTTGCAGGGATTCCCTGTGATTATTGTTGGCTTGTAACTGGGAGCGGGTGGTATGCCTACCACAAGATGTGATGAAACGGGAGCGGGTGGTACGCCTACCACAAGATATAATAAACTGGGAGCGGGTGGTATGTCTACCACAAGATATAATGAAATGGGAGCTGGTGGTACGCCTACCACAAGATAAATAAAATGGGAGTGGGTGGTACGCCTACCACGAGATAAATGAAATTGGAGTGGGTGGCACGCCTGCCACGAGATATAAGATTCGGGATCTGGTTGCACGGCTGCAACAAGATGCGAAAAGAAAGTGAAATCTGCCTTTGTTTTCCTTATTCTTGTTAGTGGTTGATTTTGATTCCTTTATAATTCTCTTGATATTATGTTTTACCTGTTATTCCCCAAAGCATGTTTCCCCCCTCCTATCTTTATTTGTTTATTTCTGTATTTCTTTTCAGTTGTATATATATTTAAACTGCACAGGTTTATTTGGTAGTCTGGTCCTAGCCTCGTCACAACCTCGTCGGGGTTAGGCTAGACACTAACCAGCACATGGGGTCGGTTGTGCTTATACTACACTCTGCACTATGTGTAGATCCCATAGCATCTTTTGGATCGTAGTGTGGAAGCTACCTTCAGTCCACACGGAGATCCAAGGTAGACCTGCAGGCGTCCGCAGGCCCTGGCGTCTCCCTTTATCCCTATTTCCTGTTTCAATTTCCTTTTATTCAGAAATAGTGTATTGTCATTTTCTTCATACTTTGTATGTAGTAATCTCTTAGACCGTCTGTGACACCAGGTTTTGGGTGCTTAAGGTTTTAAGAGTTGTAATAGATGCAGATTTCAGATATTTAATTGTTATCTTCTGCTTAATTATTTAAAGTTCCGATGTGTTCATGTTATCGCTTTATATTTTTTTAAAATAAATAATCGGTTAATGAAGTAACTAGATCAAATGTTTGGCTTGCCTAGCTTACATTAGTAGGCGCCATCATGACACCCGAGGGTGGGAAATCCGGGTCGTGACAGCATTTTCTTAAGTTGAATTTAAAACAAGCAATAATTAGCAACGTAAGATAATAGTTATACAACCCAAAAGAATAGTCTACAAATGTGTGTTCCAAGACCTGGTGTCACAAGTATATGAGCATCTAGTAGAATATTCAAAAGAATAAGTCTATCCTACTGTCCGAAATAGAATAGACAGACAAAAACAAAGAGAGACTCCATCATGCTATTGAACGGTATAGGAAGGGAGCAGCTCACCGTGGAATCTCGGGCCTACATCAAGAATGCGCACCAGTCTGGTAGCCAGATGTACCTGCCTCAGATCTTGTACAATTAAGTACAGAAGCGTAATATGAGTACATAAACAACATGTACCTAGCAAGTATCCAGCCTAACCTCGAAGAAGTAGAGACGAGGGGTCGACTTGACACTTACTAAGGTCAATACCAATAATGATTAAAGATTACACTAAGCATGGACAACATGGACATAATAGCAAGCTCAGAGTTTACAAAGAATAGCATATTAGTTTCAGTCATGTCTTATAATAATTGCACTTCAAGGCATTTAAAAGAGTAAGTCATGAATAAGATTTCACATAAATATCATGTGCACATTATGCCGAGGTCGTACGGCCCAGTCCAATATAAAAGAAATTGTGCACTGCCAGAGGGTCGGATGCCGCGAACCATAGATGCATCTATTTCTACCGAGGCGATCGGCCCGATCCACAAATATCGTTTATCATCAAGAAATCACATAAATATGCATTCATAGTCAAATAAATTCGTACAAGTCCTCAAGTAAGTGCATACGTTAATATATATTTATTTTCAATCCCTAACATGTCCTAAGTGATCTCATTAACATGAAATGATATAAATATTTGCAAATATGGCATGATATAGGTCCTAAATTACCCGGAAAATTAACATGATAGTAGCTACGCACGGACTCTAGTCACCTCGTACGTACGTAGCCCCCACAATTAGGAGCACATAATCAGTTAACTCACCTATGGGGACAATTCCCTCTTACAAGGTTAGAAAGGAGACTCTCCTCGCTCCAAAGCTTACTTCCAATATCAAGAACATGCTCAAACCTTCAATTCGGAGCGGAACAATCCAAAACTAATTAAACGACGTAGGAACTAGTCAATACAAGCTCAAGAGTTCGCATTCTAACTATTAAAGTAATTTTCCAACCCTAAACATAAGTTTTCCTAAAATCTATCCCCTGGCCCACGTGCCCAGATTCCGGAAAATTTTGAAGAAAGTTGTTCTCTATAACCTAAGGATCAAGAATATATGATTTTTACTTTATTCCATAACAATTTTGTGGTTAAATCTTGTTTTTATCAAAACCCTAGGTTTTACTCTAATCCCATGATTTTTCACTAATCTTTATGTGTTAATCTACCCCAAATTCAAGTATTAAACTCACAATAAGTAGGGATAACTTACCTCTCAATGCTAAGTGGAAATTCCCTCTTTGGAAGCTCCCAAATTGCCCAAACAATGAAGGAAATATGTCAAAAATGACACATTCCCATATTAAATAAAGGTATTGCCTTCAGCGATTTCCGCACCTACGGTTAGGGTCCGCATCTGCGGTCTCGCTTCTACGAGGGATAGCCCGCATCTGCGGAGTTGGGCTGAGGCTAGCTGGGACCGCTTCTGCAGTCTGGGGGCCGCTCCTGCGGTTCCGCTTCTGCGAAAAAGGAGCCGCATCTGCGATTCCTGGGCTCCTCCCCCTTGGTCGCACCTGCGAGAGCTCGACCGCTCCTGCGGTTTCGCACCTGTGGCTGACCAACTGCAGGTGCGGTTATGACAGATACCTGGAGCTTCAGCTCCTTCCAAAATTTTCCAACTTCACTCAAGCCTCGCCTGGTTGACAATCAAGTCCCCCGGGCCCCGCCCGAATATACCGACAAGTTTGAAATCATAAAATGGACTCGCTCGAACCCTCAGAATGCCCGAAACAATGCTAAATCTAAGAATGACCTCCTAAAACCAATTGAATCAAACTTATGAACTTCAAGTTCTTCAATTTACTTCCAATGCGACGAAACACACTTATACTACTCGGATTGACACCAAATTTTGCGTGCAAGTCTTAAATGGAAATATGGAACTATTCTCTGTCTCAGAACTCCGTTCGGACCTCGATAATATAAAAACCCGCTCCAAACCAAATATTTAAGAACTTCAAAATCCTTAAGGAATCAACTTTCACTATTATGCGTCGAAACGCTCCCGGATCATCCAAAACCCGATCCGGACATACACCCAAGTCCGAAATCATCATACGAACCTATTGGAACTGTCAAATCCCTATTTCGTACTCAAAATGTTGACCGAAGTCAAACATAGCCTTTTAGGTCAACCTTTAGGAACCAAGTGTTCCGATTTCAACAGAAACCCTTCCAAATCCCGAATCAACCGTCCCCGCAAGTCATAAGTCAGTTAAAGCAAGAACGGGCAGTCTTATTTACGGGAACGGGGTTCTACAAAGCAAAACGACCGGTTGGGTCGTTATATTATTCCATCAATATCTGCGATATTTGGGTATTTATTACGAAGAAAAAGCAAGATGTGTGCATGAGGCAAGCCTCGCTTTTGAAATTCAATTGTATAAATTACTGCAAAAAAATAATTTATTTGATAAGTAAGTATTTGTAGATATTATTTTTAGTATTAACTTATAATAACTTAAAATAATAATGTAACAATTGTAAAAATAATAATCCTCCCAAGTGGAGGTTCTTTCTCAGGGCGTAAGGAATAGCACGCAAAAGACAGTCTGGAAAGATAAAGTGACTTTTTAAACATTATCAATTACTTGTAACATCAAATAAAATAACATCAGAATAATTATTAGGTCGAAAGCCTAAATATATGATACTAGTATTTAAACATATATTTGACCAACAACTATATATTCTGTATAATTCGACAAGTTGAGTCTTGACTAATTGATGCTCCATCATTAACAATTATTGTAGCTCAATAAGTAAAAGAGATTAAATGATTATTTTCTTATAGGATGTGCCTTCTCCCTTTCGACTGTGCTAGTTCAATTCTCTATCATGTTGCTGATTTGCTAAAAGGTCGCCAAAAAAAGGTTTATCCTTCACTTCTACATAATAGTGGAAAGTTAGACTTCTAATGGAGGTCCAATTGCAGAAAGCCCAAGTTGAGTAAGTTCACATAGAAGCAGAAGCCCAAATAAAATGATAAATGATAGAAAAAAAGACAGCAAGGGGCATTCCGAGAATTGAACTCGGGACCTCTCGCACCCTAAGCGAGAATCATACCACTAGACCAAATGCCCGATTTTCTTTCATCGATAAAGTTAATATATTTGAAAAAAAGAGAAGCATTCCGTCTCATTCACTCCCACGACCTATCATGATAATGTACCACGTGTTGTACACCTGACAATCCTCTCTTTTTTCATGTACAATTTTAATCAAATAAAAGAATGTGCGTCTCTGAATAAAACCAAGTAACAAATCAATATTTATTTCCTTTTGTTCGTTCATATACAGATTGTTTCATCTATTAATATACAGAAGAAGATTGGAAACCATCAGTTTGTAGGAATTTGAAATGGAAGCAGAACAGTTACTGATGTTTTCAGCCAAGATCATTTTATCACTGGTTTTGGGTGGATTTCTGGTGTTCTTTGCACATCTCAGCAATATTTTAATATTGCATCGAAGAAAAGTAAGATCAAAACTTCAAAGCCAAGGAATTAAGGGACCTTCACCATCTCTTCTCTATGGAAATCTCCCTGATATCAAGAAAATTCAACTTCAGAAGCAAAAGCAGCCAAGGCCAGAAACCAATAATCAAGAAATAGAAGGAAGGAAGCCTTTGCTACATACTTGGCCTTCCAGAGTCTTTTCACACATTAAACAGTGGGAAATTGAATATGGTCAAATCTTGGCACTTATATTCAACCTTCATATGATTGTAATGACTTTAATTCTTTCCTTTATTGTTTGTTCATGTGTTTTTTTGTGTGTTTAAATTACAGGATCAACATTCATGTATTCAGCTGGAATTATACAGACAATATGTACAACTGATGTAGAAATGGTGAAAGAAATCAGCCTATGCACAACTCTAAACCTGGGAAAGCCATCTTACCTATCCAAAGATCGAGGTCCTCTGCTTGGCCAAGGCATTTTCTCTTCAAATGGCACTTACTGGGCTCACCAGAGAAAGATCATTGCCCCTGAATTCTATCTCAACAAAGTTAAGGTACATTTCCATTCACAACTATATGCACTTGTACTTGTTAAGTTGAAGAAATCTAATCACGAGAGCAACCAAGGGTGTGACCTAGTGGTCAATAAAGTGGGGTGAGAATCATGAGGTCTCAGCTTCAAATCCCGGAGGCATAAAATAACGAGATTGATCTCTTCCTATCTATCCAAGCCATGGTGAATAGAGTTACCTGGTACATGTTGTTGGTGGGAGGTGGCAGGTATCCCGTGGAATTAGTCGAGGTTCGCGCAAGCTGGCCAGAACACCCTGATTATAAAAATAAAATAAAAAATCTAATCACGAGACAATAATTTCAAACATGTACTGATATGCAGGAGATGGTGAAGCTGATGGTTGAATCCACCAGTAAAATGATAGAATCATGGGATGAGAAAACCAGAATTTCTGAAGGAAAATTGGAGGTTAAGGTTGAAGGTGATCTCAAGAGTTTGTCAGCAGATATAATATCAAGAGTTTGTTTTGGGAGCAACTACGCTGAGGGGGAACAAATCTTCCTAAAACTTCAAACCCTTCAAAGGGTTATGTCCAAGGTTCCCATTGGAGTTCCTGGATTGAGGTAAAAATATTGTTGCTAAATTAGAACTATGTTTAGCTCTGCAAAAGGAGTCGAGGGTCTATTGAAAACAGACACTCTACCTTTATAAGGATTACTTAATCCTCCTTCCTTTCCCTTCTCTTTTACTTACATACAACAACTGATATAATTGTTTCCCTCTTGCTACTTTCACCTCAAGGAAAGCCTAGTATTAAAGTAAAACTCAATGGTAGTAAATAGATAATTTTCCCACAATGTTCTGAATCGCTGGATTGTTACAGGCATATCCCAAACAAACACAATAGGGAGATATGGAGATTGGAAAAAGAGATTAAAGCAATGATATTGAAGATAGTAAGAGCGCGGAGCAATGCCACCTGTGAGAAAAACCTTCTACAGTTGATTCTTGATGCTGCGAAGAGTTACGAAGAGAGTGGTGATAAACTACCAGCTGGCATCACTCCTGATACGTTCATCGCTGATAATTGCAAGAACATATACTTCGCTGGCCATGAGACCGTTGCCCTCACAGCATCGTGGTGCTTGATGTTACTAGCTGCGTATCCAGAATGGCAAGCTCGTGCCCGAGCTGAGGTGCTCGATGTCTGTGGTAATGAGTTGCCAAATAATGATATGCTGAAACGAATGAAAGTGGTATGCAGTAATCTAAAGCCCAGATAATTGATATTCACATATATTCTGTACCTGGATCCCTAACATGTATCCATATTTGATTGGCAGCTGACAATGATCATCCATGAAACATTGCGTTTGTACCCACCAGTAGCTTTTGTGGTTAGAGAAGCATTGCAGGATATAAGTTTCAAAGATATTGAGATTCCAAAAGAGACTAATATTCAGATTAGTATCCCAATCCTACACCAACAGCAAGAACTCTGGGGACCAGATACAGATCAATTCAACCCAGAAAGATTTGCCAAGGGCATTGCAAAGGCTTGCAAAGTCCCAAATGCTTATATACCATTTGGAATAGGGAGTAGAACCTGCGCAGGGCAAAATCTTGCTATGATTGAACTGAAGGTGATTGTATCGATGATTCTTTCTAGGTTTACATTTTCGTTGTCCCCAGGATATCAGCATAGCCCTGTTTTTAGATTAGTCATAGAACCCGAGTATGGTGTTAACCTATATCTCCAAAAAATTTGACATATTTTTCTTCCTTGATATTTGACAATGCCTAATCTATCAAGTTCAATTGATCCGAGAAAGGTTAATGAAGAGTCCATAAATGATGTTTAATTTACAAGCCATCTCCTAAAGCAGTACAACAGGGGAGCAAGAGATACAGCTGCTATTCTCTTGTGCTCAATATATGATGCATTTGTGTTATTCTTCAATTCTGAATTCAACACTTCCTCAAAGCAACAGTAGAATCCCTTACAAAAATCAAGGACGCATGTTTCTTTCATTTATTTATTTTATCATCGTGAAAAATGAATCTTATAGAAGTACTTGCCCCAAATGAAAGCGACTGTTAATAAGCATTGGTGCCAAGCTCAATAACAACGACAAACACAGCCTAGTTCCACAACTGGAGTCTTGGGGGAGTAATGTATACACAAACCTTAACCCTACCTTGAAAAGATAGAGAGGTTGTTTTCCATAGACCCTCGACTCAGGAAAGATAAGAAAAAAGAAGTAACAAGTAGTAACAACAACAGGCCAATCAGAAAATCGAAGTTAACGAAACAATAAGTGATAGCAGAAATATAAGAATAAGAAAATACAAGACTAACACTACGTAGCACACTAATATCACTGATATGAAACAAGGAAAACAAAAAACAGTTGGTCACCTAACCTTCTACCCAAATTTTCGACATCCATACTTTCCTATCAAGGGTCACGTCTTCGGTAAGCTAGAGCATCACCATGTCATGCCTAATCACTTCACACCAATATTTTTTCGGCCAACCTCTCCCTCTCCTTAGGTCCTCCAAGGCCAACCTCTCACCCCTCCTCATTGGGGCATCAGTGCCTCTACTCTTTACATGCCTGAACCATCTAAGTTTCGCTTCCTCCATCGTGTCACCCACAGGGGCAACGCCCGCCTTTCCCGAATATAGTCATTCCTAATTTTATCCAACTCGGTATGCCAGCACATCCATCTCAACAACCTCATTTACAACCTTATTTTTGCTACCTTCATCTTTTGGACATGAGAGTTCTTGATTGGCTAACACTCAACCCCATATAGCATAGTAGGTCTGACCGCCACTCTGTAGAACTTACCTTTAAGTTTTGATGGCACATCCTTATCATGCAAAACACAGGAGACGAGCCTCCATTTCATCCACCACGCTTCAATACAATGTGTGACATCCTCGTCAATCTCCCCATTCCCTTGTATAACTGACCCAAGGTACTTGAAACTTCTTCTCCTAGGGATGACTTGTGCGTATTGGTGCCAAGCTCAAGAAAAAGATAAAAGAATCATCCTATTGAGTATAGACAAGTTTGGTTGAGTATAGACAAGTCTGGATCATGAATCATTTTAACATTAGAACTTCAACTGAATCCACTTGAGAATGAGAAGAAACGGAGTCGCCGGTATAAACACTGCAGTGTCCTCCTCTTTGCTTACCGAACATATAGAAACTCGAAGACTTGCACCAAGAAAACTATCAAAAAAGGAAAACAGAGCCCAATACTGGCCTGTAAATCAACATTAAAATATCTTCAATACAATCCTCGTCATGTATTGCAAGTGAAAGCAGAATCAACAAGCATATAACCAAGAAGGAGCTAAAAGGTTAGAACAAACACGATCACATTGATTCTAACATGAAGATTCTGTATTACAATTGTTTCCAGGAATAAGTTACAGAATATGTTATTAGCCTGATAGTATTTTATAATGGGAGCACTATAGACTCAATTTTCACGATTCATGAAAACAAAGACCGACTTCGATTGCGCTCCAGCCGAGCCTCCCTCTGCAACATGCCAGAAAATGAAAATGAAATATCAGTAAAAGAAATGACATATCACAAAAATCAATACCCAGATAAAGGGGAAAAAGAAAAATCTGAAGGCGCAAGAAAGGTCCCTAATTTAGAAGCAATTATCTAAAGCACAAAGCAGCAAAGCCATGCCATGATATCAATGTTAAAAACACCTAGAAACCAAAGGGAATTGATTGCTTGGTAATTTATGTTCTGTCTTACCACTACCCCCTGCTTATGCACAGCAAAACTAAATTTAAAACGAGCTCAACATAAATTAAATACTATTGAGCTATATATTTCCAAGTGACAAAAAAGAAATAGAAGAGATGTTCTCTCTATAGATTCAGGGCTGAGTATAGGCTACATTGATAGTGATCCAATCAAGGACTGGCTAGTCGTAAGAGTAGATAATTTAACTAACATGTAACCGTATCTTAATCAGTATTCAATCTTACACCTCGGCTTGTTTGCTTCAAGCTGCTCAAAAACTTGCTCCCTTTCATAACTATTGATGCAAAATACGAGCCATATAATTCCCAAGTAACAAAAAAGAAACAGTAGAGCATGTTCTATCAATAGATTCAGGTCTGAGTATAGGCTGCATATAGTGATCCAATCAATGACTGGCTAGTGTCTAGTGTCAAGCATAGATAATTTAACTAACATGTGAACGAATCTTAATCAGTATTCAATCTTATACCTAAGCTTGTTTGCTTTAAGCTGCGTAAGAACTTGCTCCCTTTAACAATTCTATTGATGCAGTGTCTCAAAGCAACTTGTCCGAAAGTTTTTTACAAGTTCCATCACACCCGTATAAGAAAAATACCACTTCAAAATGTCCATGGAAGAGCCTCTCGAAGTCCAATTTACAAGGCAAGTTACCCTGGAAAACGTGATTCGTACGTTCTTTCACATTACCAATTTCACCATAACATAATTTCTCGCGCATGTATCGCAAGTTAGCATATACAACTACTACCAATGCATAGAGATGTGAAAATACCAGCTAATATGCATACCTCCTTTTTCTTGCATTCCTTGTAAACATCAAAATGTTCTTGACATTTGCTCTTGTCTGAGTTAAACTGTTCCAAACCTGCGAAGCATTCACAAATTAAGCAACTGAAACAGCTGCATAATCGTATAGTAATATGTCTTTAAACCTATTGATATTAAGGAAAGGTATTTTTCGCAATTTCTATCATTCGATTCTACCTACCCTCCGGGGTAGGGGTAAGGTATGCGTACACACTACCCTCCCCAGAGTCCACACGTGGGATTATACTGGGTTGTTGTTGTTGTCTACCATTCGATTCTACAGATGATGAATGTGTATAACAATGATATCTCAAACAAACACGATTCTATATATTGCACAAAATTCATGGAAGTGTCTTCTGAGTGTGGATATCTCCATGAACTCGGGGGATGTAGAAGGTAACTTATGGGTTCATCCGAACCCATTAGCTTACCTGGATTAGCAACTTATATGCTCCAGATTTAAAGGTCTTTCCAACCTTCCCCAAAACCTTCATCTTGATAATAGACTATTGCATCAAGCTACTTAGGGTCTGTTTGGGAAGCCACTGGGTAATTGGAATTGGTATAATTACACAGCCTAGTAATTACATAGTATTGTAATTACGACGATCTGTTTGTTTGTCATAGTGTAATTACACTGTAATTACACGAGTTAGATTAAATTTTAAATGAAGTAATTATCAAAACTTAAAAGTTAATATAATAAATATATGCCAATAAATGCTTTTTTACAAGTATAAATGATATTAGATTTGGTATTTAAGATGTATATTTTTTCGTGAATATACATTAATTAGCAATCATATATTTATAACTAATATTGTGAAAATAATTTATATATACTTTCCAATTTAATAATATTTAGTTTAGTTACTTACAAAAAAATGTACGTTTTGTAAGAACATCATGGAATTCACGTTTGATAAAATAAATTAATATTTATTAATATAATATCATAATATTATTCAAATATTTGACAAATCTAATGTATCAATTCTAACTAAAAAATGAACAACAGGCATCGTGAGCCAATGCTACTAAAACAAGTAAATTGGAACCAATAATATAACACAATTTCAAACCCTCCCCCCCCCCC